GCGAGGAAAAGTGGGAAGACTGGAGTGGAATTGGCTCATTGTCGGAGAAGCAAAGAGTGGGAAGAGAAGAGGAAGGAGCATGAGAGAGACCCTCATTAAAAGGCAGCATGTTGGCTTCACAACCATCCCGCCACTTCAATGCGCTGTCATGCAGTGATGTATCGCTCTGCATGGTGCTACAGTACCAAGGCCTTTATTCCCACTCTCCTCCATGTTTCTCGGTTCTAGCCAATTAAACGCCCACTGGAATAGAAGGGAGGAAGTGCCACATTGAACATTGCACAATGTGCAGAGAGGAGCTGATGAAAGGACATGTCTCTTTAAGTCTGCTTAATAGCTTCAGGACATTGCCTGAGTGGCATTTAATGTCTACAGCACATCATTCACTATCCCTCTACCCCCTTTAACTTTCCGTTCACGTACGCATACTTTATCGCTAAGGGATGAAAATGTTTATCAGAACTATGAATATTTCATTTAGAGTAGTTTGAGTATTGGCATACTTCATTCATAGCCCTTTTTTATTCATGATTTTGCTCTTGAAATGTCACCTGAAAGATCATAAAGAGGCTCTTGTCCAATGACATGTCATTAATCATTGTTTTAAAATCATCACAATCGGTGTTTTAGGCTTTCTCATAGGTTGTTGATCTTTTGGGTTTATCTGGTAAGATTGTTGGTTTTAGGGCAGTGGAAACGATAAAGGGCCTACAATAATAGGTGTACAGAATAAGTATGTACTGTGTTTACCACCCTTTCTTCTTTCTTCTGCTCCATGAATAATGCAGGGCCTAAAATCCCCAACTCAACACTGCGCTTGACCTGTTCATTTGTTGTTGTATCCATGGTGGGGTCATGGCTGTGGATTTGTGCAGGAAGAGGCAGAGGCTAATCGCAACAGCAGGACAGGCAGCAGATTCGCTACTTTTCATGCTGCCCGTGTCACTCAGGCTAACACCATAAATCTCACTTATTTTCAGATCCAACCGAGACACAGGCAGAAATTACGGCCCAGAGCACATTACCAGGCACAGCAGCGTGCTGAATGCTAACAGAGAGATCCTTGATAAAGCAGACCGGCAGTTCTCCAACAGATTATTGAACAAAATCTGCTAGACTTGAGGGAGAAGATTGGCTAGTAAGAAAAGCACAAACATCAGTGTCAACTGCAAAGCCATTGCATGAATAGAAATGTATTTACATAAATCAATTAGTGAATTTGTACAATGGCAATACTGTCTCTGTGCTCGGTTAAAGCATATCTATGCTTAGTGCTCTATAATTATTGTTATTATTCACTCGTTATCTTTGTATTCTTATGCACAGAGCATTGAAGGCAACACACTAGAACTTGACTTACATAAATCAATGCTCATGTTTTACTCCAGCTTTCCACAGAAGCAATTTTTTAAAGTGTAAATGTAATATGTTGAAGTGTGATATAATAGCCATAGAGAGTACTCACCAATTTTCTTCTATCAGCCAGGCAACTGTCCCTGGGCTGGAGACTGTCGAGTGTCTCAAGGGTTTCAGACCCACTATGAGGTGTATGTCGTTGTTGAAAGACTTGTAAATTACATTGGTTATATATTTTTTTTTGGGCATTTTGGCCCAAGCCACCCATACATTTTAGTGTTATTCTAATGTAGTAAAGAAAAAGCCTATACTGTTCTATTTACAATTTAAAATGTCCCTTAAATATGATTAAGTAATCAATTTGAAAGAATAATGCACACTGCATTGTGTGTTCTTTTCCGATAACGTCACAGTCTGTTATGGATTATCTCCTGACAAATCTGACACATGTAACTATTAAAACAATGGACAAAAGTTGCCAGAAAAGAAGGACATCAACAGTAGGATACACTTCTGCAAAAGCACACATTTCAATATGTGGCACCTTTTATTGTTCTAAAAAGATTAATCATAAAAACAATGTAGGCACAAAACTAATGTTCAAATGCATTTCAATAAGATATCCCTTTTATGATGTAAGCCTTAACCACCTCAAGTAAGGAAGTCATAAATCTCAGACCATAATAAAAACTCTCATCAGGTCATCCTTTCAGTTTCACAGGCCCAGATTTTATTGTGTCTTCTTTCAGATTACCGTTAGATGACTTAGTTACGCCGCCGATGTGCACAGCGGGTCCTCATTTTGTGTTTAATTGCTCTGTCTAAGTCTGAGTGTGTGGGTTATTGATGCATCACTGTGGGATCCCACTGTGGCTTATTACTGCCAGGCCCTGCTCTCGGCTGCTCTCAACCTGCTGGGTCATCTCCAGCTGCTGTAATCTAACATTAGCCTCTGCTTTCACCAGGTCCCAACCATTTACCCCATCATGAATTATAGATGACCCTCTGGAATTGGAGAAATCCCAGCAGACACAGAATTAATTTACAGCAACCCTCAATTTGAAGGGGAATTGAATCAAAGTCACAGGCACAGTGAGATAGGGGTTTACATTCCTATATAACACTGTCACAGTCTATAAAATTGTAATGAAAAGCCATTTGAAGATTAAGTGTTTTTTTGTGATTCATTGGTATCTCTTGGCTCAACTAAAAATCATTTCACTCCAGAGCTGACTGGTCTCAGTAATTGATGCTTACAAACGAGCAAAGCTCCTTTCAACCAAACGTAATCCTCCTTTTCTCTTTTTTTGAATGACTCTGATTCACAAGCTCACAAACACAAGGGGAAGTCTTTAGAAGCCGAGTTAACAGGGCCCTGTACACATCTTTTGCACTTCCCTAGGGACAATGGGATACTCTTGAATGTGGTGACAGGAAGTTGGGCACAGTAGATTGGTCCTGTCTGTGCTTTTCAGGTTTAACATTAATATTCTAAACAAATGTGACATTTTATTCAAAAGGCATCACTACAGAGTGAGATTTAAAGAAAAAAAGAGTAGCTACCTCAATAGAATAGAACTGAAATGTATTCAGTGCTGGTATGGCTTCAATACTGTGCCAAAAGAAAAGGTGTCTCAGGCTTCATGCCCATTGAAATTAAAGAAGTCAGAGCAGGGCGTTTGTGTGAGCTCCAATAGCAGAGTCAAATGCGTACAGTGAGAGGCCTTTGTCAAGCTGTGCAATTAGCTCATGGAAGTTATTTTAGTTCCCCAATAGCAAGAAAGCCGTGTTGGTTGAATGGTATAAGTAATGAAAGGTGCACTTTCACCTCAATGGCAGGAATTTACTGAGCTACCCAGGATTCCAGAGCAATTTGTGTAATTGAAGAGCAATTTTGTACAACCCAATGTGCATGTGGGAGAGAAAAAGTTAACTTAAACTTATCTTAATTGGCCCCAATTGTGTGTGTGTGTGTGTGTGTGTGTGTGTGTGTGTGTGTGTGTGTGTGTGTGTGTGTGTGTGTGTGTGTGTGTGTGTGTGTGTGTGTGTGTGAAAGGTTAAGATTTATGTTCAGAGGGATGTAGCTCTGCCATTGAACTTAAAGAACCAAAGATTCCCAGACTGCGCAGGTCACTCACTCAGAATCTGAATATTTGTCCCACGGAGGGGACATTTTCATTGTTACAGCTAGTAAAGAGCCAAAAATAGCTTAATATTAATTAATAAGCATGCATAAAATTAAATTAGTAATTACACTATTTACTATTTACAAAATACACATCCAGTAGGCTACCAGTCACAGTTTTGAAATTGTGAAAGTATTAAAGGTGGAAGTATATATTGCACAAAAGTAGGTGTTATAATTCAGCCTAATGGCAAATACAGAGCACAGTATCTGCTTTTTCAGTGTATTATGTCGGTGTTATGTATACAGTATGTGTCTCTGTTAAGAATAACACATTTTGTTATGCAGATTGCTGGTGAGCCTCAAAATGTGATATATTTACATTTTGTAGAATATTATATTAATCGTGTACTTTTATTTTATTAGTAATTACAACCATAATTCAATAAGGTTCCTGGTAGCACACATTTGTTTTACGGCACTTTTTATGGTAAAAAGTCTCCTAATCAATGAAAATGTATTATTATAACAACAATTTCACAATTATTACATATTTATAACTCTAAATCTAAAATACATTCTTCACCCGATCCAAATCTAGAATAATAGAAATGCTTAAGGGCATGTTTTTTTGTTACATATAGACCATAGAGACCAAGCTTTTGACTGAAGGTAGAAATGGCATTTATTATATATTTCGAACAAAGCAGAGTTTGAGGCACTTACACGTGCTCAAGAGGAGAATAATCACAGCCGCAGAGACTGTAAAGAGTACTTTTAAATTACTATGGATCCAGGACTATATATATATATATAAATAAAAGATGGATTGACATGGCAACAGTGACATACGCGTTATTTTGCTGCCGGTGCACAGAAGCACATTTTTCCTAGAACAAAAGCTTACGTAATAGAGCATGAATGATTTCCCCACATGAAATATAATTTTTGAACCATTTCATTTGAATCGAAATATTATCTGCCCATCTGTAATTTTGGTGACTAGCGAACCACAATGTTATGCTAATTACTTTCAACAGTTAGCTGGCTGAAGCGTGTGGCAGTTGGGAGAATGTCTTGTATTCATCCTGATAATTACATTCACAATAATTAGAACAACCACAAATTGTTATGGTTGACTTCATATTAAGAAGCTCAACTTAGAGACTCAGAAGTAGCTATTCAAACTTCGATCAACACAAGTAATTCTACATGCTGCATTTATAAAAACTGAAGAAATGATTTCCAGGTGATTGAAGCGTGACTGTATGTTCTTTCAGCTGCTGTAACTGTGCTCTCAGCAGCTGCCATCAGACATTAGCTGTTCACTGAACAGTGGCTCTGATTACACAGTGGTTAACCCAATAATCACTAATTGAGTGTTGATTGTGCGAAGCCTCTTTAGGCCAATTTCGATGCTGCTTGTTACTTTGACTTTTTCTATTCTTTCTGAGCTAATCACTGATTGGGTGGATTAGGGACCTGCTGTGCTGATCCCTCTCTCTCTTTCTGCCTCCAGGACTCTGAGATTTTGAACACGGCGGTGCTGACCGGGAAGACAGTGGCTGTGCCAGTGAAGGTGGTGACCGTTGGAATAGACGCTTCTGTTACTGACATCTCGGAAGCAGTCAAGTGTAGCTCTACAGACGAAGATGTGGTCAAGGTCAGTACGATGAACTGTTGAAAAGAAACAAATCTTTGTACACTTTCATCCAACTCTTTGTATGAAAATTCTACTATAGAACAATTTAAGTTGGAATTTAGAAAGCTGAGGTGGACAAAATGGTGTATTGATCAAAGCAATAATTAAAACTAAGTGGGTTTTTTCCGGCTGTGTATTTTCAAATTCTAGCGCACTCGAGCCGGTTTCTCCAAAATTACCTACCCCACCTTTAAGATAGAGAGAGAGTGTGACTTCCACTTTCGTTCAACTCAAACATAACAACAGACTAAAATGTAGATCTCTGTAGAACAATGAGGAGACTTTCCCCCTAATGTATGCGGTTAACAAACATCATGTATTGTTGAATCCTTTATGCAATGGTTTTAATGGCAAATGGAAATGATCTGCCACTAATGGGAACGCAGGTTAATCAGAATTTTCTTTTGCATATTTTCTAGACATTTTGTCAAAATGTGTAAATATTAAATGTAATGGATCCATAATAAATGTCTTAAAATACTGATAAATACACTAATTTGAACACAATAGACTGGTGGTAGTTTGCAGGTCAATCTTGTTTATTAGACCAATTTAATTGCATTAATAACTTAATATCAAATCATACTGAAAAAATGCAAGATACAAAGGCTTTAATGTCATATGCATACTAGCTACAGCGTAGATATTGAAATGAAAATATTAAGTCCTGAGCTCCTCCAACCAACAATGCAACATAGTTATAACACATACAACAATAAAACATTATAAATAAAATAGTGCAAGAAGAAACAAAGAAGAATATAGTGCAATTATGTTGCAGACCAATGTGAAAGTAATGAAGATGAAGAAATATACATGTAAGGAAAATAAATAATGACAATTAGCCAAATAATGCAGAGAATGTTATGTTAACAGAATGTAAAATTAAATACTGTTTATTACAGTGATAACTATTTGAGAAATAAATTGCAAGACGCAAACAGATGAATGCTTAATGGAGGCACTTTACAGAGTTCAAGTGTTAAAATAGTGTATGTATAAAATGTTTGTGCCTTAATGACTGACTCTAGGCAGGTATTTGTTTACAGACTGCATTAGAGCTTATGTGAAAGCAATACTTTGAGTACAAATAATGCGACAGATGAGAAGATTTTCTATGTTTAGCACATCTATATAAATCCTTCAGATAAACAAACACCAGCAGGCAACATGAAAGTGTGTGTTTGATATGCAGTGACTGCTGACAGGTTGTTCACGATTTCCTTTATTTTTAGAGCCCCTTACAACCCTAGGGCACAAGGCACAAAAGAGTAAAAAGTGACTTACAGTGTTGTAAAGTTGAGCCTTCGTATCACTAACTTTGCACTTCAACAGAATCCCAATGACTTCTTGGTTATCTACAGAAAAAACTAAGAGAAAATCACATCCTGTCTGTGATGTGTTTCCAATCCTAAGTGACTGGGATCTTACTGTGCTATGGTTTACCTTGAATTTTGTGCTTCCTAGTCACACCTCAAAAAGATTAAAAAAAAATACTAGAATGCCGCATATCAAACTCAAGTAATGTACAGTTATAAAAACAAATCCTATATATTTCCCCACATTGATCCACTTCCTCATGTTTGATGCGTTAAGTTATGGTTGGCTAAGGGATTCTTAGAGGGAAATCAATTGCAAATCAATGAAGTTAGAAAAACAATAGCTCTGTTGCTGAGATCTCTGCAGAGGGTCAGAGCCTCATCCTGCTCACCTCTGCTCACCTCTCTTATCATAGCCTGCGATCATGTACTGTATGTAAACATGACTAATTTATCAAATTCTGACCTGGGGAATAAGCGAGAAATAAACACAGAGTGGCATTAAACTTGAATAATGAATCACCCTGCATATTCAATTATGCTTACACTCACTTATAATTACAGTGAATTAAAAAAAAAAAAGTTGCTTTTTCTTTAAACCACGTTTAATATTAGTCTTGCTAAAACAAATTGTATCTGACAAGTTTAGGCTGAAAGAAAGCGCTGCCTCCATTATTTTTTTAATGTTGCTTTTTTTGCATATAGAGTTTTCACAGTTCAGTTTAGGACCAATGCATAAGTCCAGGCTCACTGTTTGGACTGTGATGGCAGTGGATGTGGGTGGGTATATCCGGTGTACATCTACTGTACCACCTTGTTAGAGTTCATCATGTTGCAGCTGCATACAGTGGGGACATTGCCAAAGACTTGAAGCAGCTCAAATGCATTTGAACAAATAATGTATCCCATGACTACTTGTAAGTGAAAGTGGTTGTCTGTAATGCAACAAACCGGAATTAATTACCCGACTGTTGTTGTTTTGTTGTTTTCAGTGGCAAAGCTCTTAAAATCCACTGTCTGCCTCCCACCCGGCTCAAAACAACAACAGACAAAGTTTGCAACTAGCTAACTAGCTCGACAACAAAACATTTTCAAATGATGTATCTTTCAGCAGTATGCAGCTGATTAAAGTGCTTATCAGGTCAAGGACATGAAGCAGCATTTTAAATATATAATATTTTTTCTTTTTCGTTTTAAATAGAAGGGTCCAAACAATTATGGCATACTTCAGTGCTGCCAGAATGAATTTGGAAGACTGATGCATCCAGATTTGATGATTTTATAGGATACTTCATTTTTTGTATGTCAACATCCATTCAATACCAACCTAGCCTACCATTTTTGTAAAGTTTTGAAAAAATGAAAACCCTTTTCTTGACTGTAATAACTCACTACCATATCAAAACTGAGGAGGAATGTGTTTTTTTCCTCCCTATTTGGCCACCAGTGCTACATAACTACATTTTTTAGAAAGAAGCACATGTTGTTTAGGAAACGTAGCTTTTTGGCTCCAAGGATTTTTATAGAAAAATCAGAACAATTTGTTCTTCTCCTTGTTAGACATGAACTCTACTTACTCAAGGTCGATGAGAGGGCCCTTCTTACCACTGCCAACACAGAGCAAGTCTATTCGAATATGCATACACTTTCCCCTTGCATGGAAGTGAGTGCTCTAGCTTATGCAGAGGAGCCTGAGCAGCTTAATTGCTTCTGTCAAGCTGACTCTGTATACAAGCCAGAGACATGCACAACCCACCTTCATGCTCCCCACTCCCATCGCTCATATCTGCCGTGGATTGTATCTGTCTGGTGAGTTGTTAATTTCCTGGGCTAGATCCAGAGACAGCCTTAATGTCCTCTGTAAGTATTCTCCCGTTAGCTGCCTAATGTCTCTGATTAATGTGGTAAGGGATCCTCCTGGACGTTTATGATACTTTGTGAATCAGGATGACCGACAGTGTGTAATTCACAGAGACAGTGCCCCCCTTGGTCTGCCACAACACACATCCTTGTGGGATGTTGTAAGAGGTTAAAGGGACTGTCTTTTTAAGTTAAAATGTTGAGTTGGATGTGTGTCGGTCGATGATACAGCACAGCAGGAGGGTGTACGCATGTCAGTGTAATGTGTCGGGATGGCTTGATGTCAGCTGCCATGTTTGCTTAAATTGTTTCCGCTTAGATTGTTGGGAGTAGATCAAAGAAATACCATCAGGCAGTTCATTTGCCTGTCATGAGACATACTGCAGCAGACATATGTGTAATAAGTCCCAGAGTCATTAACATGTTCTTTCCTCAAATAAGAATAAACTGTATTCTTATAGATTTCAGAATCAGAATACCTTTATTCGTCCCACAGAGGTGAAATGTACCTTGTTACAGCATATGTTAAAGGTGGGGTATGTCATTTATTTCAGAAACACTTTTTTTATTCCATGGAATGCTCTTAACATCCCGATAGTAATGAATATATTAAACGCTTTGACAATAAATACATAACAACATTTCATCTGTGGAAGCCGTGGTACTGTAAAAAGCACGACCAATCATTTTACCCGGCCCGGCTAAAATAACTGGATGGCCTACCTGCCTGTCAGCCTTCCATCTGTGCACAAACTTATCTCGTGCCCTCATTGGTCATGTGCGCGTTCGTGTGTGTTGGAGGAGGGGCTCTGTAAGGAAGTGGCAGATTTTTTCCGGCTGTGTATTTTCAAATTCTAGCGCACTCGAGCTGGTTTTTCCAAAATTACCTACCCCACCTTTAAGATAGAGAGAGAAAATAAAAGGGCATGCAAAAAAAAGGTTATTTCAATTTACAAGTAACATCCCTAATGCATTTCCAATTAACTGATTGCACACACTTGTTATTGCACAGCATGGTATCATAGTCTGTGTTTGTTTTGTTTTTGTGTTTCTACATCATTGCACGTTGATGTCATTTCACAACCATTTCATCTGCTAAGTAAAATACATCTGTTAGGATAAACGCATTTGTCAGGAGCATCCATGTTATCGATCAGCTATATATCACTTTTGGTTCCGTTCATGAGCCTCACATGGAGCCCAGTCAAGTGGTGTCTAGCAAGCAAGTTAATGCTTGTGTGGGCAGGTTGCACGGCCCCGACTTGTGAGAGAAGTCTGAGATGTAACGGGCTGTCAAAGGCACTTCTGTATCAGCCGACTGAGTGCATCGAGAGAGAAAGAGCTGAACAATGAGGGCTGATAAGGAGCAGGAACTTCTCTGACATCTTTATCAGTTCAAACACACACTCTCACACTGGGAGCAGTGACGGAGCCCAATCGGCTACATGACTGAGTGTAGCCAGGGGAGCACCACTGCCCTTGTAAAAATGTTCAAAAGCTTTATTAAGCTCTGTCTGACCCTGTTGCATCGCAGTGTTGTACGGCGTCAGTGCACGAGCAAGGTACTGCTGTTTGCTCTGTATTCTTTAATTATTGTAGTAACATAAAGCATGTACCCACTCATACTGTGTGCATCCACTTGAGAAGTCAGGGCTTTTGCAGTCCTTGACAGAAGTTCTCTGATGGTTGGCTGTAGCCTTGGAGGATCCCCTGCAGCACGCTTTTAATTTCCTCACAGGGGTAGATCCTTAACTGGTGTTCAGACATAAAGTCAACTGCTTTGGTAAGCTTGCTATTGTCTTGAAAACCTTTTTATCTGAAACCAGAGCCCAGTCTGCTCTTATTGGTTAGCTGGCTGGCTCTGTTGTGATTGGTCAACCGTTTAGATATGTTCCGCCCCTCATCCTATCATGTACAATGTGTTGGAGCACTACCCAGTAGAAGCACAACAGGTACATAGTGATGTCACTATGTTATGGAAGTAAACAAAGGAGTCCAGTCGAGGTGTTTGAGGCAGAGGGGAAGTGTGTGGGAGAGACATTCCCTTTGGTGTGAACTTGTATAGGATTTTAACCTGTGCAGATCATTTACGTGCACTAAAAACACACCACAGGAAAGGGTAAACTCCAAAAAACATAATATTGCCTCTTTAAAAAAGCATTTTTGCTAAGAAATATGTTTCAGCTAAAATAGCTCTCTCTCTGCATAAATGTAATGTAGGAGGGGAGAAATACTGGTCTCAAAAGACAATGTGCTCTTACTGGTAATTTAATTGGTACAAATGTATATTTGTGACTGCAGACACCAGAAATCGTTCATCATATGAATTTAATTCCAACAGCCACACAGGCAGTTAACAAGCTGCATGTTGTTAGCTGTTAAATCCTATCTTCAATCTCGCACTCCCTAGATTTAAAAGCTTTAAAGGCTTTTTTGTCATAAGCAATATATACTGTATAGATAAAGCTTCCTCCAACAAAGCAACATGTGATAAACATAAGACATAAAAAGAAACAAGGAAGTAAAATAGTCCAATAAAGTAGTGCAAGTGGATTAGATAATCTATGTATATATAAAAATAGAATAAGATACATTTCTCTTTGAATCTCTATTTGGTTTAAATCCATACAACATGATGTTAGCTTACTACAGTTTGCATCAAACAATGTCATTGTGTATGAATTCATTTATTTCATTCACAATTTATTTGATGGCTGTTTTGATTTAGCCAACGCTATATTTGTGTCCAACCACACACTGGTTTTTAGGACAGAGTATAAAATCAGTGAAGCACATATTCAAATATCGTATTTTAATGTAAACCAAGAAGCAAAATGTATCTTCCACAGAGAGCATTGTGTTGGCTTCACTCTGTAGATGCTGTGAAATAGAGAGCTCAAACCAAGCTAAGGACTGTCTGTCTCCAGAATGTGGTCACAGAGGGTATCCCGCTGCGGCTTTCTGATTTATGGCTGTTTATGGTTTTATCTCTCTGTGGAAGAATAACTTGGAAGTAGAAAAAAAAAAGATATTTCCCCCGACCATTTAATTCCATCTGGTTTGAGCCATATTAGTCTGCTATATGATGAGATAAATAGGATTGACAAATTGCCCAGAAAAAAGGAATCTCTGTTTAAGACATACTGATTAATAGCCTCTGTGTGAGTGTGTGCTGGATAGCCGTCTTGAGATCCTCTTCTTCTTTTTTTTTGGTGTATTTGCGTATTTTATGCATTTGTAGAGCTAGAATGGCATTGCATTTCAAAAAGACAGAGAAAGAAAGAAGCTTCGGGGGAGGGAGGGGGGGTGGCGATGGGTTCACACGGAGTGAGCCAAAGCAACAAAGAGTTGTGTCCTTCGAAAAAGCAAAAATGTGGCCAGCTGATTACTTTTCTTTTTAAAGCAATTTATGACACGGGTGCCTTTGAGTCAGGTCATTTTATCAAGAGACATTTGTTCTCCTCTTTCTACTTTCCATCTGTTGGTTCTTCTGTTAGCTTTCGGCAAAAATATAATAGAACAGCAGACCATGATCTGTTTTCCCTGAGGTTCAAAGAAGTCCTCGTTACCCCCTCCCTTCTTTTCCTGAGTGTGGAGCACATTCAGGACCTTTCATCTTGTTCAAAGTAGTTGCAGGAATACTGCATCAGTGGGGAGCTCAGAAGTGTAAACCTTATAATCAACTTGGAGAGCCTGGGCCACAGTGAACGCTTTATGGTATATTGCACTCTGTAATTCAATGTGTAGAAACCGTCAGAAGAGCTCAACTTAAATCTCTCCCTCTCCTCTCACGCAGGTGTCGGACAGGTGCGACTATGTTTTTGTTAACGGCAAGGAGATGAAGGGCAAGGTGAAGATGATGGTGAACTTCACCTACGGATACCTGAGCTCTCAACTGGAGCTCAACGTGTGGATCCCTCGACTCCCCCTCCAGATTGAAGTGTCAGACACCGAGCTGAGCCAGATCAAAGGGTGGAGAGTACCCGTCATGGCCACCAGTCAGAGGTAAAGTACTGCATGAATCTGTCAGCTACAGGTCCCAAGCAGGACTCCTTTCCCAACACTCAGGTCCCAAGCAAGTCCCACGCTGCTGGGTTGACAATACAGCGAGTGAAAAACAGCCACTACTATTAGTCGAGCAAGTAACAAGTCAAGTCATAGAATTCTGATGATCTACCCCAATATAACTCATCCTGAATAGATGCCAAATATTCCTTAATGGACGTCTGTGTTGTCCTCTGCTGCACCGTAATTGGTTGCCAGGTTTGCGCGATTTGCACCAAATCCTTTTTTTAAAAACATTTTAATATCTAGAAAGATATACTGTTGATTAAATATTTTAAACAGTCTGTAGTTCCAGTAACCCAAAATTCGATTCACAGGTAGCAAATAAGTTTGACTCGGACAAGATACGTTTCAGGATAATTTGTTTGACTCTTTACTTAAACGAAAAGGTATCAAATACAAACACATATTTTCTCAGGTCAAAAAACGATGTTGCTCTGTGCTTCTTTCTCCTTCTCACACACCACAATCACCAGCAGCTGCCGTCGGCTATAACGCCTCGTAATCACGAACAGCTGCGGTCGTCTATGCTGTCAATTTCACACGGCTGGTTCAAATAAATGACATAATAGCACTAACAACAAAGGATTATAATATTCAAATATATCAAACTATACATTTTAACATATGGCTCCTACACAGTCATTATAGTCACTTTCAGCCTTTTGTCAATATCAGTATAGCACATGTATGACTTAGTTATAGTTTTGTGACTCAGAAGTCTGTGATGAAGAAAACGTTCTCTGAACAAGATTAAACCAGAGAATCATAGATAATTGGTACTTCTGGTTTATTGGACAGATTCAACTGCAGGTTGTCTCAGTCTTCTCTGCATTTTTTAGAATAACAATTCAACATTTTGCAAAGGACTAATTTTCTCAACTTTTCTTTTGTGCCTGCTGTGTAATTCCAGCAAAATGTACAATTATCCAATGAAATGGAAATTGCCATGCCCCCAATCTTCATTTGAGTGGATCCGAGCCATATCTATAAATGCCCTTTCTTATGTACTTAATAGCGTTGTGCAAGGCAACATAGATGCCCTCAATATGAGCCATTGTTCTGCTTTTTCAGCAGCATTAGCCTCATTTAAGGGGGTAACGAGTGGCCTTTATTTCAGGTGATGTATTTGATTTCAATCATGGCAGCCTTAGATAAAATAATGATGAGATGTGTGACTGAACTCCACTCCACCTGTCCCTTCCTGACTCCAGTCCTGCTGACAGTTCTTGGCTGATAACAAAATGGCTGACCTGTGCAATACAGCTTGTCATTAGACCGACTTAAGGTGTCCTGCCATTTGCCTCTTAGTCGTCAGTAGAACAGAACATTATTAGAGCTGCATGGAGGTCAGACCTCTCCCCTGGGGGCCTCATCACTAACAGCACCTCTGCCAACATCTCTGTGCAGCGCTTCTTTGCAACTGTTGAAATCCATCAATTGAGAGAGCAGCTAATAGCCTACCTGCAGTAATTACTTCTGGAAAAGCGTTGAGGCTGTTCCTGGACTTGGAGTCATCCCACGCACCAGTGTGGCTGCTCTAATTATCCTGGCTCCCCTCTTATTTTGAGTGACAGGGGTACAGCATTCGACTAATGCCATGGCATGTTACGGATGTTGCTTTCCCAGCTCTGCTCTGGTATGCCTTTATCAGCCGAGACAGGCCAGTTGTGTTGTCATTGTTGACGCCAGAACCACTGCTGATGGGAAGCAGAGAGCATTGTTTCTCCCTGTCTTCAACCCGCCTTTGTTTATCAGGGGATAACAGGCGTGACCTTGCACAGTAGCACTATGCCTGTTGGTGAGAAATGGCACTGCTCCACTGTCCATAAGCCCACAAGGAACTGAGCAGCAATACAAAGTGGCGGGACCTTTGTCTAACAGCCGGCTGGCAAGTCGTGGCCACATTTGGGGGCGAGAGAGAAATGAGAAATAAAGAGAAATCCGGCAAAAGTTTGATAGTTGCAAAAGCACTACTCACAGGGTTTTTGACTGGCACTTCCTGTATGGCTCACCTCTTCCTTTCCCTAAGCCCTGTCAGAGCAGGGACAAGATAAGCCTTCGCAGACAGCAAACCTAAATGTAGGCGTAGCACTCAGGCTTGAACCACTCCTTTAACAGGTCTTTAAAGACATGTTTACCCAGATACTCATTTTGATGTTGTTTTTATACTGGGTTGGCTTTTGCTGTGTGTACTGAGTGTTGTCTTTCTTAACCAACTTGCAGCTGAATTCCGTACAATAATATCCACACAATAAAGGTAAACAATCAAACTTTGTCAGATAGAGCTGCATCTGTGTATATATAGTAGCAGAACTGTCTATTTCCGTCCAAATGACCTTCGTCATGTTATTGTTGCAAAAATAATAAAATAAATAACAAATACAGCACTCGATCTGTGGGGCACAACACAAATAAGTATGACACACACTCCAATACACAGCATCTCCTCTGAAGTCAGAATTGGGCTTGAAAGTAAATGAAGCAGAGAGAAAAATTGCTTTGTGAAGCAGGTTGTTCTCGCCGCTGAGTGTGATTTGTTTATTAGATAAACCCTAGATTAGATTTTGAGATGGCTGCACAAGCAGTGGCATATTAGATTTATAGCGGCGCTAAAACAGTTGGACTTCACTATCAGCTTGTTTATTCCTGAATCCATTACATCTGACTAATACCTGCATCTAAAAAGATCCCTATACTGTTTAGATGCTGATTCGGTCAATGTGTCAGTACAACATCCTTCAACAGCAGCGCCATGTGTCAACTCATTGCCTGTTAATGTCAAATAACAGATTCTATTTTCACTCAAAACACACACACTATGATCCAAAAGGATTTAACCAAAGCAGTCAGCGGTGAGAAACTTTCAATTACTGGCATTACAATAATTGGAAAATGGTGACAGAAATCATTGGCAGGGGGTTTTCTCCTCTACTTATTCCATGTAAATAATAGGAGAGTGAGTGGAAAGCAGGAATATATAAAAGGCGAAGGGAATTTTAAGAGAAAAATCCGATGCTGAATTAATTTTTGATCACAAATTCATTAATCACAAAGCTTGCTCATTTGGAATTACAAAGTGCATCTGATAAAGTGCCACTTTTCATGCAGATGGGAGTTATTTTGTTTGTATGTGAATTTGAAGGTTTGCCTTTTAATAGTCAGTGAGTCACTCTAAGGTAAGACAAGGAAGAAGCTCCGTGTATTTGATTACTAATATTATATCCGAGAAGGACTCAAATAACCTCGTCCACCCCTTGGAATTCAATGTAGTTGTTCACTTATGTGTGTGTAAATGAAAGAACAATCATAAGTGGAGTATTCATAAATATGCATTAAATGTGTCATGTACAGTAGGGCCTGCTTAGGCACAACTGCTGTTATTTCAATCTGCTTTTGGAAGGGTTTCTAAAATAGTGCAAAAATGTTTTAACTCTTTAACACAATCTGGGGAGGTGTGCTCAGACATGCTAGCGATTGTTGGCAGAGATGGTTTAAGGATGGTTAACGTGTTTTTGTTTTTGTTCTTTTCCTGAAGTAGTGGACAGATTTTTAATGGTACTGCATTGTAGGGAATTATCAATGTGGTATCAATTGGATTGGACTGTCACTGTTTTTATAATTCCTGAAGTGTAAAAGGAACCGCGATGGAATATTGAGCAGAAACCAACGTGCTTGCAGCTTCATTTCAGACTAACAAGAAAACATTATTTTCAGATCACACTGCAAAATATATGAGCCGTCTCCTTAGCAATGACTTCATACACAGTTCTTTTTGTTGGTATTTCTATGCAAAACATAGCACACACAAGTGCAACCAGAGGAAAACAACATGCAGTCCACCACAATGTTTTTTGTCTGGTTGCTCTGACATATTTTTGTATGAAAGTGTGTGGTTCTTGTCTGGTGTATGCATTCTTACATTTTTTTAAACATGAAAAGTTGCATACAGCATATGAATCACAGTCTGCTGACTAAATCTGACTCAACCACACCCACACAGTCCCGATGAAGGAGATTGTCTAGATCTTTTAGTCTTACATTTCTTATTTTCCTTGAACTTGACTTTTTAGTCATGAATATTTGATATATAGAAATACTTTTATGTGAATTTTTGGGAGGATTAATCAGAACAAGACACAACAATAGAGAGCAAATAGTCAGAAAAGCTAAAAGAACGTTCTGTGTTTTGATACCACTGTTCAAATTCAAAGCCATTCATCACAGAGGTTTGTAAAACCTATTTAGGGTATGTGTTCACTTGTTGAATCCTGAATCAAAATGTTTTCTAAAAATGATCCCAGTTTAGTCATTTCCTCTGTGAATGGCTGTCATTGAGTTGCAGGTGAAATGGCTGCTGAAAGGGAAGGTTTTAAGCCCCCAACTCCAAATCTCACTGTGCTCTGGGGTTTTTCTCTGGAGCGTGCAGCTAGCATCTTGATTTCCACGGCTTTATGTGCAGTCAGATTTCTCCTGGGATTCACAAAGAAAAGAGACAAGCCGAGCGGATCATCGAGATTAAAAAAAACAGTTTAAAAGATTAATTTATTTACTTCTCCCCTTTATCAAGATGGCATGATGGTGTGTACGTGTGTGAGAGAGAGACAATGGGAATCTACAGTGGCGTATATGATTAGCAGTTTTGTTTACAAAGCACTTTCCTGTTTAAAAATGTCCAGACTGTGCCCCAGTGTAAGACTGAAAAGTTTAGAACAGCATTTATTCTCCCAGATCAACCATTCAAACATTCAACATCTCAGGGTGCTTCATCTCTTGGCTGTTGAAGAGAAATTACATTGAAACAAATATGGACAAAGTCTAATGATAGTGCAGCTTTATAGTAGTAGCCAGTTTGGCATACTGCAATGTTCCTGGTGAGTCCAGCTGAGCCTCTGCTGGCAATTTTCTTTTACCTAAAGCAATAAAATGTGATTTGCTAGCAAAAAAAGCAATGAGGGATATTTAGGGCTATTAAGGAAAGCAGTAAGGGGACGTGTGCACATTCACAACCCAGACCAGGTGCTCTGAAATGGTGAAGGAGGGACATAAGAAGAAAAAATGAGAGCCATACGCTGGATTTATCGTCTTTCCACGGTTTAATCATCCTAACTTTATCTTCGTTAGGTAAACATCCCTGTGTGAGACTGATGTGTGTGTGTGAACGTTTGTCAGAGTTTAGTTTATCTAAACGCTGCTGAAAATACCACAAACCAATCCAGAAGACATAGCAGATGTTTTCTCTTCTCCTCTAATAGGTATAATTAGCAAACAGTATACACATATGCCACAGTTATTTTAGATTAGGCCTTTGGCGGAGATGTAAACTGGCAATAACTGCAAAGTAAATATCATTATGTAATAAATGTGATACAGCTTTAACTCGTGCACTTTCTGCAATATTTTAATTAAAGTAGCATGCATAATTAACGAGACTAAGAGTATACAGCCATAGCAGGCCTATTGTACTCCATGTTTACTTGTTTATTGAGTTAAGCGTGTTAACATGATGTACTTTGATAATTAGCACTTGAAACAAAGTACAGCCTTTGTGGATGTCATTACTTTTGCATGTATGTATTAATACAAGAAAGTAATGAATAGTAGTGCTAGTCAGATGATCACAAATATTGTTCTGATTTATCATCTGGGGACCATGAATGTCTACACCAAATGCCATGCCAACTGATTCGATATCTACCATATTACTATTCGCTATTAATTTAGTCGGCCAATCAACATTTATATTCCTAGAGCTACGCCGCAAGCATGGCTGCAACAACGTTTTCAGTTGCTACCAGTTTGCACATCTGTTTCTTTTATTATTTCTTACTAGGTCCACACGGGACAGCGAGGACGAGGATGATGAGGACAGACGTGGACGAAGCTGCACTCTTCAGTACCAGCACGCCATTGTCAGGGTCCTGACACATTTTGTGGCTGAGTCAGCAGATCCCCGAGACCAGACCAGCTTCCTGCTGGGCACTGATTGGCAGGTGGACATCACAGAGCTGGTGTGGGACTTCCTGAAGGTGGAGGACCCCCAAATTGCAAAGATACTGGACAGGAGGATACTGGTGGGGCTGGACATGGGGATGACCACTATCCAGGTAGGCCAGGTGTTGTGAACTGCACAAAGTAGTTCATTAATTAATGTAGCATTTAGAAATAATGTTAGGATCTTATTTTCAAAGTCTTGGATATCCTTCCTTTTAGTATTGACACAACTGTATTCAACCTCCAGCTCCCAAAAGCTAAAATGAAGCCGATATGACAGTTGCTCAATCAGAAAGGTTGTACAAAAACCCTCAAACTTATATTTCATACCTGAACTGTACATTTATCTTACTAACATATTGCCGTTTCACTTTTACCTATTGTACTTATTTTAGTTCAATCACGCACAGTTAAAAGTTTCATAATTGATAGAAATTATGTCAAAAAAATAAGTTTTAATCAACCTAAACTTTTCTTTAATCAAACAGTGGTTGCTAAACATTCATGCCTAAAATATAAGATAGTTAGTAGCCTTGGCATCATGCTTTGTGGCATTGTTATGTTGCAGGTGCTAGGAAGTGCTGGCAATTTAGTTTTCCAAAAAGATTTCCCATGAACCCGTTGCTTCCTGTCTCAGAGGTCTACCTAGCCTTGTGAAAAGACAGACAAGGATCCGGAGTCAGCTCTTACTAACAGTGAATATAAATTCATTCAATCAACCATCTGCCATCGCGGTAATCTCTTAAAGCTTCAGTCACATGTGTGCTGAGAGATCAGTGCCTGCTTCTTATTATACAGATTCCTCCCAAAGTCTGCTGGTGTAAAACCAGGGCCTTAGAGGCTGCCAGAGATCTTGGCAAAGGTCTGTGTTAGTAATAACAGAATATAACGAGAAGATTATTCCAATATCTCAATTTGAATGTGCTAATTATGTCATTTAAAGGAACAAATTACAAATACAAATACATGTAAGAATAATAAAGAGTAGGAGCATGAACATATGTTTTATTACAGATGCCACTGATCGGTGCTGTGGTTTCAATAGTACCTCCTTTTGTCTAGTGCAGACGGTTGCATCCTGGTGTTTCACAGCCTGTAGCGTGGCTCTCAGCAGTGAGTGGTTGCCCCCCCCCCCCTCCAAGCCCTTTGGTTTGTCATGCTCTCCAGACTAACTGGATGAATATCAGCCTCCTAATGGCATCTGTGTGAGTGGGATCCGCTCTCCCTGTTGTCGAGGACTCATCTGTCTGTCTGTGAGCAGACGTGTATTCACCTTTGTGGGAAAGCTTCAACGTTTTCACAAAACAAGCACGAACTGGCAAACATGAGCAGCACTAACGTCAGCCGGCTGTGTCTACCTGTGCCACGCGCCACAAAGGCTGGTGCACGAGGAGAAGTGTCACACATAACATCTGCAGCATTTATCATTAAATAACGTTAGGCTTCCTTCTTCTGTTCTGGGGGGAAAGTGTGCTTCTCCTCTGGATATGAATCAAAGGGAAAGGATTCTTACCTATAGGAAGTATCGGGGTTATATGGCAGCCAAGCGTTTGTTTGATCTATACAGCCTGGGTAAAGAGATAAAATAAAAAGTAGGTTGTGCATATTGCGCAGGGGCTTGTGAGCTTTTTATGTCAGATGAAACACATCGGAAGATATTTTGTTAAATCACCTATAACTCGTGGTAATCCGCTTTTTTCGTGTTTGTGACATCCTCACTGCTGAGTGCTCATTGATGGGACTTTTTTACATTCCTGTCAGGAACGCCTTGTCAATCAAGCAGTGTGACCAGTAGGGACTAACTTCTGGTGGATTTCCTGTTTATGAAGTTTCTATAGTGCTCTTTTTCTCTTTTTAGCTACGGTTGCTGTCGCTGCTAATTTCTCCAGGGAAAGACCCACACAACCCTCGGTGTTTAGAGCAGGAAATGAAAAGACTTTCATGAACAGGCTATACAATAGCTTCAGTCACTATTGCAGAAAAACATAGCTGTAATTGATCATACCAGAACGTCACAGGTTATTGCTCGACAAACACATATTTGAGGGGATTGTTGTTGAAGAAAATTCTTCATCTTTTCCTTTGAAAATGAATTTACTGTCACAATGTAATCTATCATCTCTGTTTGTTTTCTTTCTTTCTTTTTTTGCTGCATTTTGCACATCCTAGGTGTTGTCTCCTCTATCTGACTCCATCCTGGCAGAGAAGACTGTCACAGTGGTGGATGACAAAGTGACCATCACAGAGTTGGGGGTGCAGCTGGTGACGGGCCTCTCTATGAGTCTGCAGCTCAGTACAGGAAGCAACAGAGCCATCCTGGCTACCACCACAACACAGGAGATCCTGCAGAGCCCCAAACAGGTCAGCACACGTTTTACAAGAACAGCTGTAACAATTAGTAGATATTATAATCATGTCATCCATTTCATCTGCAACCTTTTTAATGTTACATTAATCATTCAGTCATTTTTTCAAGCAAACATTTTAAACATTTGCTGGTTCCAGCTTTCCAAATGTGATGTTTTGCTGCTTTTCTTTGTCATACTAACGATACGATCATAATTTATTGTCAGATCAAGTCTGATATTTTACTTGCCCAAAGACCCCTCAGTGCTGACCTGGGATTTAGTTCTGTAGTTTAGTTCTACTTAATAGTAAACTGAATATCAGTACATTTGGGGATTTTGGTCAAATAGAAAAACAAAATTATAATCACCTTCACATCACCTCAGGCTGCAGTTTTCACATTTTTATTTAGTTATTTAAAAGACAAATAATAATTGTATATATAAGACACGAAAGAAAGTGAAAAATATAAGCATCAAATTGAATATTTATTTTCCAGCCAATGCGGTTGAACACAGTCTCTTATCTAATGCAAAAATGCTAGTAATTATTTGCAAACACAATTTAGCAAGATTGGATTAAGACAGAGAATGATGAATATTCTCTCCCAGCATTCATTTAATTGAATTATTCAAAAAAGCCTTTTGGTGAAAGAAAAACTTTTATATACAGTATCTAGTAAAGCTACAAAATGTAGATTCTGCAAACTTGATTACTGTCCCTTTCAAAACTAAAGATTTACTTCCAGATTTCATTTCACACTATCAGGTTTCCTGAATGAGCATTTTTCCAGTCAAAGAAAAAGCTGCGGGTGTGCATGTGCTTGTGTACACGTGCCTTTTTGTTTGTTCCACACCAGCTCTAACCCTCTTAACTACAAGGCCTAAAGCCGGAGTGTGACAGAATGTGTTTCCTTGGGCATCTAATAGAAACTGGAGATTAATCTGAAAGCATGCAAAGGCAACAAGCACAGTTTCTCTACCAAAATATGACCTCACAGCACAAACATTCATATTATGTTTCTCTACTCTCATTGTGGCCCCTTTGATCTGCCCATCAAGCCCTCTTACAAATCCCCCCTCTTCTTCCATGTGAGGAAGAATGGAAAGGCCATTTATCTATCCTATCTCTATGCCCAAACTGTGAAGATAAGCAGGCAGCGCTGCACTGTTAGTCCGCTGGTCCCAGTAATTAGCGAGTGTTGACACTTACTGCTTGTGTACCATTAGGGATTTGTCCTTCAGCAACATTAAAGGGCAAATTGTGCGTTTGCAGCAGGAGAAGGCCTCAAGATGTCGATGTATGGCAAATCCTCCTTCTAATGACAATGTTTAATGTTAGATCTTTTCCGCCTATCTTTTAATCTGAACCCCCCTTAGTTGGGAGGAAATAGCCGCTGAGATATTCGAACCACGCCACTTGGTGAGCTTAGAAAATGTTTTCCAAAATTAGAAATGTAATTCTCAGTTTAGAATACATTGATTTGTTTTTATAATAATTTCAGTGCTAATAAAGTATAAACAATTTGATCTGTTCCCGTAGGTTTCCATGATGTGAGGCTAGATGCTTTATTTTTGCACTATTATTTGCATTTCTTTGAAGTACAAAAGCACAACATGTTGTTTATGTGTCACTGACTATTTTCTCCCTTTCCCTCTCTCTCCCTGTTGTTTATGTGTTTGTGCTTACAGGAAGCCTTGATCAGCGCCTGGCTACAGTTTAGTGATGGCTCTGTGGCTCCTCTTGACCTGTATAATCCAGACTTTTTTGTCCTGACGGCCACCTCCCTCGATGAAGACATTGTGACAGTGCAGCAGAACCCCTCGTGGAAATGGCCTGTCATAGTGACGGAGGCGGAGGGCCAAGGCCTGCTGGTCAGGGTGGAAATGACTGTTTGCGAAACCTGTCAGAAGTTTAAGCGCCGCAGCATCCTGGCCGCGGGTAACTGTAACGTCAGAGTGAAGTTTGGTCGGAGTGACAGCGCGAGGGGAAGGGGCAGCGACTACAGCCCTGATGTAGACGATATGGAGAACAGAGGCAGGCTCTCCCCCTCCCAGGACAGGACCGGCCCTATCACACACTACTATGGCAGCTCCATCTCTGACATGGAGGATGGGGTGTTAAGGAGAGCCACTACCACTAGAAGTGCCATATTGCACAGACCAAATGGGGATAAACGTTCAGATGATGGTAGCCAGAACATGCCAATTGACTTTGCCGACTTCCCTGCACAAGTGGACCTGCCCCGTGGCCGCAATATGGATGATGACCTTATTCAGACCGCTCGTGGACTTACAGATCTGGAGATTGGCATGTATGCCCTGCTGGGGGTCTTCTGCCTCGCCATCCTGGTTTTTCTCATCAACTGCATCTCCTATACGCTGAAATACCGCCACAAGGAGCTTTCGATTGAAGGCCAGGAGAACATGAACCATGCTCATGATTGGGTATGGCTTGGCAACGAGGCAGAGCTGCTCGAGAGCCAGATCAGCCTGTCGCCCCAGCAGGAGGAACAGACCTCTATGATAGACTCCAGCAGCGGGCTGGAGGAAGGAAGCCACCTGCTGAACGGAGGGTCGGCCCAGAAGAATGTGCAGGGCCAAGTGCACCGGGGAGCAGATACAGGGTGCACAGTCAAGGACAGTAAAGGAGACTCCCCCACCACCAAGAGGAAGAGAGTCAAGTTCACCACGTTCACCACCATCCCCTCGGACAGTAGCTACCCCACTGTTAACACACTGACTGGGAGCCACTGCCAGGACATTAAGTGGGTGTGCCAAGATGTGGAGCTGGGAGACTCCAAGGAGTTGCGCAATTACATGGAAAGGTTAAGTGACAGTGCTTTAAAAGAGGTGGCATAATGTACTGCGTGCACTTGTAACAAACTCACCCTTATGCCTTTCAGAGGACAGTGGGTCTGGACTGAAACCGGAACCGGAAATTGACGTCAAAATCATCCCAAACTGCCAAAGGGTCATTATATTAAAGAGGATTGTGGTGATTCCACAAGTGACTGATGATGAATCATTTATGGAAGAAAAAAAAAGTCAATGAAAGAGGACGTTACGTGATTCTTTTGTTCCTTTGTTAATCAGATGATTAGCTTTTGATCGTTAATTTTAATACTACAGGGTTTAGATAGAATGAACCCATGACTAGCAGCAACTACGACGTGTACAATTCAGACGACATGTAGATTTTAAAACAAACCGTAAGATGGCTAGATAGATGTTCCGGATGTGTGTGCACATTAAATGGTTTTGGAAGTTTTGTAACATTTTGGATTTTAATTTCTTACGTCAGATCATTCATCTGTGGAAGACTTCTGTAAAGGCCAAAGCAAGCGATGAGACATTTCTGCATGTAGATGGAAAAAAAAAGGCACAACTTTCTGGTTCATTCTCATTCTCCTTAACACAGCAGAAAACCTGTTCTGTATATACCAAACATTCTCCAAAGCATTGTATTGTTGCTCTGTATATTGTATTTTCATAACATTTAAGAAATACACAACTATGTCAAGAGTGTGTATCAGCTTTTCTTGACCACAGCATCAAGTACTGAGGTCAGCCGAGGATTGTGGTGGATGAAAAGAAACCAATTACACATTCATGTTTGTATAAAAAGTATTTAAAGAGATGCAATTCACCAACAAGGCATTGCCATCTGCTCCCTTTAATGCTGGCCGAGGAGAAGAAAGGCACTGGTCATTAATACTCTCATCTCGTCTATTAGAACTCGTGCCCTAACATGACAGCAGAGCATGAAGGGGTTTTTGAACTAAATTGCCGAACGACATGGTAATGTGACATTTCCCGCTGTCCACCCTCCAGTTTAAAGTTTACTGAGCTTTGAAGAAAATGCCAATTAAGGTCTTGTTAACCTCTCTCCCATAGCCTTCAGGAAAAGCATACTGATAAGCTGTGTGTTATGGACAAACTGGGATGAAATGTGCACTCCATCTCTTGGGGATAGTGTGGATACAAAGAGGGATAATTAAAGGCAAGGTGGGAAATGTGTTCTTTTTGATAAAGGATATTTTATTATCCAGATAATTGCACAAATAATAATCATCTCTGAAAACTTGCTAAACAAAGGCAGTCGGCTGAAAAATTGCCTTTTGCTCAGTGAATGTTATTATCATCACAGTGGTGTTGGCTGATTGCGTTTTTTTGTGTTATTATTTTCTATCAAGCAGAGAAATGTTCACATTATCTTAACTGTTGCTGCAGTGTGGATCAGACTGTTAATCAGCAACACTCAGAGTTTTAGCTTGGAAGAAGGGAGGCGAGATACTTAAGCAAATAGTAGCACTACCTTGAGTGCAATAAGGGGACGCCATTTAGAGCAAGAGTCGGCACTGAAAAGAGCCCCTCCGACTCCTGTATTAGTTTGAGTGGCTTTTCCACTTTTATTTAATTATTTCAAACAGCTTGTCTACTGATTCTCTTACTTCTGTGGTGCTGCAAATGGTTCCCAGCTTGCTGAGCCACCAAATGATCAACCCACAAAAAAATCAAGAAATAGATTTCAAATGGAAAAATAACAAGCCATGATAGCTAGTATAATTAAAGGAGTAGTTTTAAATGCTGAGAACTGGGCTTATTTACTGTTTGCTGTGTTAAAGATTGACACTCTTATTTCTTCACAATACATTTGAAGCTACAATTAGTACAGCAGACGGTTAGCTTAGCATAAAGACAACATCTTGACTCTTCTAGTGGTGAAAATACTACATTGTAGAAAAAAGATCCAAGGGTGTACATGGGGTTTTGTGCCAACCTATAGGCTACTTGGTTGGCAAAATAAGCTTCGTGAGTCTCAAGATATAGTATGTTAGTATTAAGCTTCAGAGGTGCTGTTAACATATTACTGGTAATAAGCTGATCTACCATGGAATCTAAAAAAATATATATACATTTTCAAAAATGTGAAAACAAAAATGTTGTTCTGTTACAGGCTAAATCAACTTTTAAAGTCTAGGAAAAGTAAAAAATGTGACGATTCGGCTCAACTTTTTGACTTTAAATACTTTCTCCATATATCTTTGGTTTAACGTTTAAACCATTGTAAGTGTAGCTTACATATACATTGATTCCATGATTTATTCACAGACACAATCAGGAAAACCTCCCCCTGCTCACTCATTTGTCTCAGTTTCTGCTGTCCTGATTTATTTTTCTCCGGTGCAATTCGCCTTGTGGTTTTCCTTCTTCTGAAGCTCTATCCGTGGCTGCAGGGGATTAAAGCGGGATCATGTGCAGAGAGTGCTGTGTGCTGGGACCATGGCTGCTGTGCCCAGCCTGTGGACTGTGAAGGGCGAGGAGAGCCGGTGCAGATCCTGGGAGGGATTCAACTGTCAGCCACAAGGGGCGTGATTGATGGAGGGCCCCATGTAATTAAAACACCACTGCGACTCTCTCTCCGTGACCGTCGTCGGTGGTTTCAGCCTCTTCAGGTAGGGACAGAACAGCGCAGCCCATTAAAGACCTGCTGTCTCCACCCCCTCGAGCCCCAGTTTTAGACAAGTGTTCACACCTGCTGGGATGTGGCACAGCAGATATAATGACTGTATTAACTTCCATTCTTAGAGCATGGTAACTCAACACTCATTTTCATTGGCCTTGATGTCTTGCCTTCTCTAAGAGTAAAAGTAAAATCCTTCCCCAGGCCTCCATCTTAAATGGATTTTTAATTAAATTGATGATGTGAGACCAACAAACTCCCGCTAATGGTTGGTTGTGCTCCCTGTGGTCCTAATATGTCGGCTCTGTATTTGCAATTTCCAAATGATTATTCAGTGCTTGAGTTATGTTGCTTCCTTTTAATTCCTTTCTAAATAAGTTCACAATGGTTCTACATCAACTAAAAGCGCACAAACATGCTTTCTCGTGGAACGATAGAGCAGCTGTCAAGGTCAGCTTGACTTTCTAGTCTGACCGATTTTTTACAGATTAAGCCACAGGGAACCAAAGACAACAGCACTCGTAAAAAAACACCCTTGTGCCAAATCTGTGCCTTGTAAATACTATCTCCCACTTGACAAGAGCAACAACACGAATAACAGCACACACGCCCAGTTGTATCTTGTCTCACTAGCAATTTAAGTTACTTTTAGCGTCATTACATAGCCCCTTACCTCAGTCTTACCTTGAGTTTATAATAATTTAACAGGATTAGGCTGGCAATATTCCATAGTTTTCTTATTGTCACCAAATCCCACAAAAAACATAAAAACACACAATTTCAATACTTTATGACTTACCTAATCGGCACTTGATAAAATATGAACAAATAAGACATTTGCTTTAATTTTTAAATGTACAGCAAGGTTATCTCTTAAAATAGCTCTGCACTGTAGTTTTTTTAAGCAAAACATACTCATAATGATATACTAGAGCAATAGTTTAGGACTATTTTAAGCTATAGCTAATACATAGGTGGTTGGTGTTCTAGTGATTTAAATAGCTTTTTGAACAAAAAAACAAGTCTATGGCAGAGAGGAATACGATATATCAGACTTTGGGTGTAAATTCATTGTTGGTTTTGGAATTAAATATGATAGGATAATTGATGGTCAGATCAAGTCTGAAATGTCTTGCATCACAGCAGCTCCATTTGCAACATCAACAAAGAAACATAATTCAAGACAAGAAACAAGGTAACAGTCATTTAGCATACAATAACTAAAGTTATTGTTCTTCAGTCTAACCTTATTAAATGATGGTACCCTGTCGGATCTGATAGTTCCAATTCATATTATATTGTCCAACCACAACATGTTATACTGTTGTTGGTTGATTCAGAGTTTCTCAAAGGGTTGACCTACATTATTTGAGCAGATTTTCCTATGTCTTTTCATTTGACAGTATATCAATTCAAGAATACCACCAGCCCTTATCCTTAATCCCAAATGAACTGTTTGTGGAGATCAACATTGATACACAGAATTGAGGCAAATCACAATTAGAATCAGCTTTAGATTTTTACAATGTGATATGAGTACAAACCTACCCACAGTAAAAACATATGCACTATAAAAAGTATCAGCGATAACTCTTAAACCTAAAGACAAAAAAGAACTACAGTAGCCCTTGAGCAGCATGTGGTGAGTAACCAACCGTGTCATTTAGATGTATCGGCCCAGGAGGAGAGCAGAGCACCGTGCTCAGGGGAGCGACATATCAGCCGGCACCCTGAGACAGGAAGGGGCATTTTTCTGCCTGCCGGAAAACAAGAGAAGGTCAGAGGGCTGCAAAGATACGCCTAACACAAATGGTATTCCTCAGTGTGGCTGAGAAAAATTCATCTTGATACCTGTACTGTTTTATGGGAGTCAAGCCTCATTCTGTACAAATAAGACGCTCTAAACCACAGGGCCTGCACATAATAACCTAGGTTGAAGCCATAAATCCAGATGGATGTACGCTGTTAAACACATTTTACGGTTGCTTATTTCACAGATCATCCGTCTGAATGAACATCCTAACCTGCTCAGTTCAACAGAAGAGAGCCTTTTAAGTGACAAGACCTGAGCAGCAACATTTCTGCAACAGGAGATTGTAAGAGGCTCATATTCTCAGCATGACTCATTAGGGATGAAGTTGAAGTAAAACAACTTGTCTCTTGTCCAACGCTGTCCCATTTTGAATCAGAAAATGCTCCGGGATGCAGACTAACAGAGACAGCTCGGATAAGATAATTAGTTCTCTGTGAGTGCGGATCATTAGTACTCAGAGATAGCCGATGTGTCTGCTTGGCCCTTTTTCCTAAACATTGTGTGTGCATTAGCTTATCTTAATTAACATGTGATGATACCTCCTAATCCTCCAATTACTGGAGGAACATCTTCTGGAGCATCTGCCGGTCGCTCATTACACAGGTACACTAAGACTCAGTAATACAATTAAAAGCAGTTTAGCATTCTGTAGATTATGTAAAACAGACACATGCCGCGTCATCCACAGACTTATTTTTATCTGTGTTTTTAAAACTTTTCTACTTCATTTTCATACACTTTGATGTAAAACTGAGGATGTTTGGAGAAAGTAAATACCACTGACTTAAATGTGGAATAATTACTGCATTGTTGCTATCCTAATTTTGGCAGCTTTTCAACAAGAAGAAATCTTTTTTTCTAATTTAAGTTGTGCTTATTTGATTAGGGGGATACAAATAAACAAGACAAAGAGTCACAACAAGTTGATAACAATGTAATAGATTATTATTATTTTGCAGTTATTAAATCATAAAGCAAAGTATTGGCCACAACATTTAGTATGATTTAGCTATACATAACTTTAAGGGATTTTGTAAATGTTACAGTTCATCCTGAGGAGATATCTCACACGTGTCATAGTAATCTACTTAAGTATTTGTTGGTACATTCCACGCCAAGCACACATTTTGAGCTCTGGTTGGTGCTCGAGAGAAAGTCAGGGGATAACCAAAAATAATCAGGATGCATCCTCTGGCAACCATGAATATCTGTCCATAAGGATTGGGAGAATCCATCCAACATGTAGATTGCACTAGACCAGAGAGGTAGACCGACAGACTAACAATGTTAAAACCAACCCTTACAATACTAGGATGGTGTAACAAAATGTATTTTCTTTTACATTTTGAATTTTGTAGGCAATGCGTTATCTTAGCTCCTGGAACATACTGAAAAACAAAAGAACAAAGGGACCTTAGAAGATACAAATATATACTGAGCCGCTGTTTCCAAGCTACTGTTGTT